GGCTGGTGAGATTGAACCGCCAGCCTTCTGGTTAGCAGTTAAGTGCCTTAGGCACTATGCTACCAGAGCTCCTAGATAGTTGCAAAAAGGACAAGGAGGCCACATGTTCTGACCTCCTCTAATCCCAGAAGAGGAAGACAGAATCACCATCAATAGCCCAAGGCCTATTCCTGCGAGGCCAAACATGTTGCCTCCCTCCAGCACTTCCTCCAACCGTTCCTCTCAAAGCACCCCCACCTCCTGGGTTCGATAATTTACTGCAGTGGCCACACCGAACTCACAGATTGTGGGGTTTATTAGGGAAGCACCAGGCTACAATTCAAGTTCAGAAAAAAAAATGCTCAGTCTCTCTCCTAGCCCATCATCTCTCAGCCAAGTCTCACAGTCTCTCCCCTAGCAGTGCATGTCCCTCAGTGTCTTACTCAGCAACGCCTGTCTCTTAGGTCTCTTTCCCAGCAGCAGTGTCTCTTTTGGCAGCACATCTTCCTCAACCAGCAGTCAGAGAGAGTTCTGCCTCTAGGAGGCCTCCTTTTGAGCCTGGCAGAGTGGCCAAACTAGCCAATCATAGCATCAGAACTCTAAGCACCTGAGAGAGAGTGGGAACCTCCCAGAACATTGTTTTGTGCCCCTCCCAACAGAAATACTCCAGGTGGACAACTTTAGCAATCAGGAGCTCCTCAGTTGCTCATAGCAAACCCACCTTGGAGTTTACAAAGACTTGTGAGTAGAAAAGCCATGTTAAGTAATTTACTACACTGCAATAGTATATAGTTGGGTCATTTAAAAAAATTTTATTCTGGCAATATTTATCTCTTAATTGGTATATTTAGACCATTTATAGTTAATGTAATTATTGATACATATGTTTGAACTTATGTCTACCATTTTATTACTTATTTTTGGCTATTCCTTTATTTTTTTTGTTCTTCTGTTTCCCCTTTCCTGACTTTTTAGGGTTATTTGAACATTGTTTAGTATTCCATTTTTATTTATCTATTATAATTTTTGGGAGCTCTGGTGGCATAGTGCTTAAGACATTTGACTGCTAACCAGAAGGCTGGCAGTTCAAACTCACCAGCTACTTCTCAGAAGGCTGGGCAATCTACTTCTGTAGAGATGTTGTTGTTGTTGTTGTTATGTGCCATCGAGTCAAACCCGACTCATAGCGACCCCTCCTTGGGTTTCCGAGGCAGTATCACTACGGAAGGAAATCCAAGGAAGGGTCGCTATGAGTTGGAATCGACTCAACAGCAGTGAGTTTGGTTTTTTCGTTTATTATAATTTTGGCTATATATCTTTATGTAATTTTTAAAATGGTTACCCCAGAGATTACAAATCATACTTACCTTTTACAGTCTATTCAGCATCAGTGTTTTACCACTTAAAATTGGAAGATAGCAACTTTACCTCTATATAGGGAGTCCCTAAGTGGTACAAATGGTTAACACACTCTGCTGCTAACCAAAAGGTTGGAGGTTCAAGTCCACCCAGAAGCACTTTGGAAGAAAGGCCTGGTAATCCAGTTCTTAAAAAAAAAATCAGCCATCAATTCATTTCTGACTTGTGCTGACTCTTTGTGAAGAATAGAACTGCTCCATCTGGTTTTCAAGGCTGTAATCTTTCAGAAGTAGATCTCCAGGCCTGTCTTGCAAGGCAACTCTGGATGTGTTCAAACTGCCAACTTTTCAGGTAGGAGTTGAGCAGTTAACCATTTGTGCTGCCTGGGATTCCCTTAAGAGAATAGTCTTGTTATGTTTCCAGAAAAAAAATAACTTCACTACTGTGGAGTTGGATCCACTCATAGCAACCTCACCCCTCCTTGGGTTTCTGAGGCTGTATCTCAACAGTCCAGTCTTCCTTTCCAGCAGTGGCTGGTGGGTTTGAACCTCCAGCTTTCTGATTAGCAGTCAGATGCCTTAGGTACTACACCACCAGAGCTCCCCTGTTATATTTATATCCAGATATTTTCCATTGCTGTTGCTCTTCCTTCACTCCTTGTGTCTCAAGTTTCCTTCATTTTTTCCCCTTTTATCTGAAGACCTTCCTTTAACAATTGTTTTAGAGTGGTCTGCTGGCTACAAATCCTTTTAGTTTTCTTTCATCTGATATGTCTTTAATTTACCTTCATTCTTGTGGGTATTTTAGCTGGAAATAGAATTGTGGGTTGACAGTTCTATTTCATGAATTAAAAAATGTCTCACTTCCTTGTGGTTTCTGATAGGAAACAAGTTGTTGTTGTTGTTATGTGCTGAGTTGGACCCGACTCATAGCGACCCCTCCTTGGGTTTCCGAGGCAGTATCACTATGGAAGTAGATTGCCCCATCTTCCTTTTGAGGAGTGTCTGGTGGGTTTGAACCGCCAGCCTTCTGGTTAGCAGTCAAATGCCTTAGGGACTATGCTACCAGAGCTCCCAGGTAGGAATTAGGGAGTCATTAAAAGGTTTTGACCAAACTTAACTATTGTGATTTGGGTGAAAGTTTACAGAGCAAATTCATTTTCCATTCAATAGTTCACACACATTTTGTTTCATTACATTGATTGCAGTCCCCATAATGTAACAGCTCTCATCCCACTTCCTCCCTGTTTTCCCTGTATACTTCTTTCCTATTAATTCCCGTCCTCTGCACCATCTCCTGTATAAATATTGCCCTTCTGATCTCCCATGGTTGATTGTTTTAAAAAGTGTACCTACCTGGTGTAAATGTTCACTTTATACGCCTGTCTGTTGTTTGGCTGAAAGCCAGGTGAGTGAGTTCAGTTCCAGGCCCTAGGGGTGACTATGGGTCACAGTCTTAGAGGTTTCACCAGTTTCTGTCAGACCAGTAAGCCTGGTTTTTTATTTTATTTTATGATTTTAATTTTGTTCGACATTTTTCTGAAAGCACACTTTTATAATAATTATTTTTGTTTTTGTTGGGAATATATACAGTAGAACATACACCAATTCAACAATTTCTACAAATACAATTTAGTGACAGTAACTGCATTTTTCAACTTGCATAACCATTTTCATCCTTTTTTCAGAGAGTTGTTCCTCTACCCAATATTAACTTACTGCCCTCTTAAGATTCCTATCAAATATTTCAAGTTGCTGTTGTCAGTTTGATTCCATTTAGACAAATCTTAAAAGGGTCAGTGCTCATGGCATGCATCCTTCACTAGTTAACCAAACTTTTGACATGAGAGGTAATATTCAAGAAAGATTGTCTGGAATAGGCAGAATAGATTGACTTGAAGACCCTGTCGTTAGTAAGTTTTTATGATCGATTAATGTAGTTTAGCCTATTCATATTATTAAGATACCTAAGTCCTAGATTGATGAAGATAGACCTGAAATTTAAAATTTTATGTTAAATGATTTCTGTTGATTGAAAATGACTCTATTGTCTGTTTTTTAGTTTTTCTAATAATATTTTCTTGGATATAATTACATGCCATACAATTCACCCATTTAAAGTGTACAAGTCAGTGGGTTTTAGTATATTCATAGGTTTATGCAACTGTCACTATAATCTAATTGTAGAACATTTTCATCTTCCTAAAAGAAACTCTGTACCCTGATAGTGGTCATCTCCATCCTTCCCTGCCTTCCCCCTAGCTCCAAGCAACTACTCCTCTACTTTCTGTCTCAGTAGATTTGTTCATTCTAGACATTGGATAAATATCCAGTTAATTTACATTATCTGTATTTGTGTTCATTTAAAAAGTATGGTTTGCAATTTTGATCCCAATTCCAATCCTGATAAATACATATCTGCATTTATGTAGTAGATCCTGTCCCAAAGAAGTTGAATTGCAGAAGAATAGGTAAGGGTTACCTACTTTCTTCTCAGTTACTGATTATGATTCTATACTTGGTTTTAGTGTAAAACCCAAAAGTTGAAGTAGAAGAGAGGTTATATATTGCAAAATTGTATATTTTTAACATAAGATTTACTGTGTAGCACAATACTTTAATTAACTGTAAGAACTTCTTTTTCATAGTATATTCAACAAAACATAAGGGCAGATTGCTCCAATATTGACAAAATTCTTGAACCACCTGAAGGCCAAGATGAAGGTGTATGGAAGTATGAACATTTAAGGTAGGTTCTTAAGATGTATCAAAACAGGAGTAGTCCTTCCACTAGTAAAAATTTTCTTTAGTATTAATGATGATAGTCACAAATAAAATTTACTGTGTAATTATAGTCAAAAAGGCAAATTCTAACATTTGTGATTTCATTGTTAAAGGGTTCTCTACTTGGTTATTTACAGATTATTTCCAGATCAAGTTATCATACACTGTCACTTGTTCTTTTGAAAGGAGTTTTAGAGTTGGTTGGTTTTTTGGACGATAATTAAAGTACCTACCTCCATACCTTTCTGTGTTTGTAGATTTTGGCCTTATTATCTTTTTTTTAACGTGGTTTTTCGAATGCATTATTTCCATTTATACATTCATAAACAGTTATATATCTCCCTACAGAGTATTACCTCTAGGAGTCCCTGTGTGGCACAAATAATTAAGCTGTCTACTACCAAAAGGTTGGCAGTTTGAACCCACCCAGAGTCACCTTGGAAGACAGACCTGCTGAATTGTTTCTGAAAGGTCACAGCCTTAAAAACCCTATAGAGTAGTTCTACTATGCACAAGTGTGGCCACCATAAGTTGGCATCAACTCAGTGAAAATTTACAACAGAAGATCACCTCTATAGATCCTAGTTGAGACCTGGAGTTTGATGAGTTACCTGAGAACTGTTGTGAACTTCATATCTTCACTTTTGTAAATAGAGATTGATTATAATCCCAAAGTAAGCAGTTTTGGAGTTTTCCATAATATCTTTTGAAAGAGAAAATTAATTACTAGTGAATAAGTAGATTTAATATTAGAAGTAGCTACATAGGTTATTCCTTGCGGTTATTAACCTTCCAGTACAAATGGAAGTTGAGGATGAGTTACAAATTAAACATACAGAATGTGGTATGACATACATGTTCATCAGGGTTCACTACTTTTGAATTGATATGCAAACGATACAACTTTGCTTGCTGAAAGTGAGGATGACTTGAAGCACTTACTGATGAAGATTGACGACTATAGTCTGCAGTATGGGTTATGCCTCAATATAAAGGAAACAAAAATCCTCTCAACTGGACCAATAAGTAGCATCATGATAAATGGAAAAAAGATTGAAATTGTCAAAGACTTAAATATCACTTGGTTCTACAGTCAGCACCAATGGAAGCAGCAGTCAAGACATCAGACAACGTATTGCATTGCACAAATCTGCTGCAAAAGACCTCTTTCAAGTGAAGAGCAAAGATGTCTCCTTGAAGACTAAGGTGCACCTAACCCAACCATGGTATTTTCAGTCCTCTCATATGCATGTGAAAGCTGGACAATGAATAAGGAAGATTGAAGAAGAGTTGATGCTTTTGAGTTGTGTTGGTGAAGAATACTGAAAGTACCATGGACTGCTAAAAGAACTAACAAATTTGTACTGGAAAAAGTATAGCCAGAATGCTCATTGGAAACAAGAATGGCCAGACTATGTCTCACCTACTTTGGTCACGTTGTCAGAAGGGACCATTCCCTAGAGAAGGACATCATGCTTGGTAGAGTGGAGGGTCAACAAAAAAGGAGAAGCCCTCAGCAAGGTGGATTGACACAGTGGCTGCAATGATGGCCTTAAGTATAGCAAAGGATCGTGAGGCTGGCACAGGACCAGGCAGTTTTTCGTTCTGTTTTATGTAGGGTCGCTATGAGTTGGAGATGACGACACCTAACAACAACAAGAAGTAGAGTAGAATTACAAATTTTCTCAAATAAATTAGCCATTTTTACTGTAATGAGGGCCTCATGTTGTAGACAAGGCACTTTTTGTTCTTGATACTGCTTGCTAGTCTTGATATCGCTAAGACATGATGTAACAATACTGCAATTTCAAGAGGTTAAATCTGTTTTTTAAAAATACCTCTCAGTGCTGGATAAATAAAAGTATGAGTTTGTAGTTATTTTCTCATTCTTATAATTCAGGATGAGGGCAGTGGTGGTTCAGTCATAGAATTCTCACTTTCCCTGCAGGATACCCAGGTGCATTTCCCAGGCACTGTACTTCAAGCCACGGCTACCACTTACCTGTCAGTGGAGACTTAACACATTGCCATGATGCTAAGCAGGTTTCAGTGGAGCTTCCAAACTGAAATGGTAGGAAGGAAGGCCTGGTGGTCCACTTCTAAAAGTCAGCCAATAAAAATGCTGTGGATCACAATAGTCTGGTCTTCTTGCACATGATGTCTACATGAGTCAGGGGCCAGCATGGTGGCAGCTAACAACAACAACATATGTCAAAATAGAGAACTCTTACAGTTCTTACAGTTATATCCTCTGCCTTATTTAATCAGCCTTGAAAATAACCACTTTCACTTATCTGTTGGGATTAATTATGAAAATAAGTAAGCCTTTTTTTTTTTCTCTCTACAAGCATAATTTCCTAACAAGTGAGAGTTGATTTTAGTTTACTTTCTTCTGTTATAAAAACTAGTTGTATACTGAGTCGTTTCCAACTCATGGTGACCCCATGTGTGTCAGAGTAGAACTGTGCTCCATAGGTTTTTTTTTTTTTTTCTTTTATACATTTTATTGTGGTTTGTGAAAGTTTATAAGCAAATTAGTTTCCTGTTCAACAGTTTATACCTATTTTATTTTGTGATGTTAGTTGTAATCCCTTACTCCACAGAGTTTTCAGTGGCTAATTTTTTGGAAGTGATGACCAGGCCCTTCTAAGGAGCCTTTGGGTGGACTTTAATCTCCAGCCTTTCAGTTAGTGGCCAAGGCCTTCACGGTGCCACTCAGGGACTTCATCTGGTTTTAGCTTTGCATTTTTAGGGGAATCAAATATTTTCATCTGTTTGATGGTGGAATATAGTATTTGGAATACAGTAACCTGATACAGTGAACTAATTTTTCTAGATAGGACTTTCAGAGGGAACACATTCAGTATTTTGGCAACTATAAAACAATTTATTTTTGTGGCATAGAGTATCAGTTGTTTTCTCATCTCAAGTAACAGTTTTACTGTCTCTGTCTGAAACTAGTGGTCCCAGTGTCTTGTAATTTCCTCCATTCTTCATTTATTAAAAATACTGAGCACTAAATATGTTCCAGGCATTTTTCTAGACTTTATAATTCTCCTGTTTGGCAATGTTAAGGACATTGTATCATGGAAAAGTGCACAAGATCTATTATGTGACAAAAGCAAGTTACACAATTGAATGTGATATGATCCCATTGTTGATAATATATTTTAATCTCTGCATAGAAAACAAATTTGCGTGTAAACAATAGTTACCTTTGGAGAGGTTGTTGTTTTCATTGTGTGCTGTCGAGTTGTTGAGTCAGACTTGACTCATAGTGACCCCTCCTTGGGTTTCCAAGACAGTGTTACTATGGAAGTAGATTGCCCAACCTTCCTTCTGAGGAGTGGCTGGTGGATTTGAACTGCCAGCCTTCTGCTTAGCAGTCAAGTGCCTTAGGCACTACGCTTACCAGAGCTCCTCTTTAGGAAGGAGGTGTGGAATTATTTATTTTCTACATTATTTATTTGGTGATGATTGAATTTTTATAAGAAGCATGTCTTATAGTCAGAACAAAACTTGGAAATTAGTATAAAACTTCTAATCTTTTTTTTTCTTTATTTCTATATGTATGTATATATACATATACACACATTTTTACATACTGGTATCATGCTACAACTGTAGCTACATATCCTCTGTATGTGTATATATACCAACATTTTACTACTCCCCAATTATTAATCGTTCAGAATGTTTCCCAAATTTTTCTGTTGTATGTATAAAGTTCCAGTGAATATCTTTGTGCATATATCTGCTTGTAGTTCTGATTATTTCATAAGGATAGATTCTTAGAAGAAAGATTTAATTCAAAGAGCATACACTTGATAAAGGGTTTGGTAAATGTTAATTCCTTAAAAAACTGTACCATTTTCCAGTGTATGAAAGTAATCAGTTCATGGAAACCTGGTTTTAAACATTATTGGGGTTGATAGTTTTTGTTTTTTTAATCTGTAAGTCTTTGGAAAAAATGTGCTGTGTTAATTTAGTAATGATGATGAGAAAGGAAGGAAGATGGTGTTCATGGAATTATCTTTGTACAGTTTTAGTCTAAAATTAACTCTGGAGACTGAATGTGATTTTACATTTATGTATTTGCATTTTTAGGCAGTTCTGTCTTGAGCTAAATGGACTTGCTGTCAAACTTCAGGTAATTATTTATATTAAAGCTGTAATTAAAGTTCTGTTATTTTTTCTGCTTTTGTAAGTAAATGTCCTACAAAGACTTAAGCAAAATACCAAATGATTTTGTTTTAAAATTTCATGTGGATATTTAGTAACCCAAATGCAAACATTATCATTACTATTTTACATATTAAGAAACATAATTATTTTTAACAGAGTGAGTGCCATCCAGATACATGTACTCAGATGACAGCAACTGAGCAATGGATTTTTCTTTGTGCAGCTCATAAAACTCCAAAAGAGGTGAGGATTTATGAAAAAATGGAATGAATAATAAAATCACCATAACCTACATCTCTTCGAGACAATGGTAGACAAATTTCTAGACTTTTTATTTAGTTTACTGTTTATTTAGACATTTGGAGTAGAGTTCCGTGCTCTACAAGGTTATTACCAAAGTGATGTTTAAGAGTTTCTTATGATAATCATTTTTCATAGTTGGGCTATTGCATGTGTTAGAACTTAACTTTATGATTGGCTGCCATAGAATAACATCTGCCACATTTTGATGCTGTCTGCTGTATAATGGAAATCTGCATAATAGAAGGAGCTCTGGTGGTACAGTACTTAAAACATTTGGCTACTAACCAAAAGGTCAGCAGTTGGAGCCCACTAGCCACTCCATGGGAGAAAGATAAAGCCAGTCTGCTTCCATAATGATTTATAGCTTTGAAAACCTATGGCGCAGTTCTGCTCTGTCCTGTAAGGTCCTAATAAGGTTGGAATTGACTTGATGGCAGTGGATTTAGTGGGTTACTGTGTAATGGAGAAGGAGATACCTGTTTTAGATTTTTGTTTCAGTCATGACTTCAGGTTTCGTAGGTCAATATTTTTCTCCATATTTCGTTAATATTTCTTACCTTTTTGTTGAAATCCATAATGGATTTTCCTCTCCATATTGGTTGTACATTGATGAAATTATTCACATTGTTTTTTTCCTTATTTAGTTTTTGTTAAAGTGAGAGCATAGGTAGCAGCAATTGTTTATAAAACTTTTCATCTTTTAAATACTTCCTTTATGTCGTCTGATATACCGTACATATTCAGTTTTCCTTAGTTGTGTCAAAAATGTCCTTTACATTTCTTTGAATTTATTTTGATCTGCATTGCCTTTTAATCTGGAGTAATTTATCTTTATTTGACATTGACTTGTTGAAGGTACTGGGCCAGTGCTATAGAATTGTAGCTCTTCAGATGGCCATTGTATTGACAGACCTCTAAGGCTTAAAGACAAGTGACTCTCTGGTTGAAAAGTTAATATGTGGTGTTCTTTTGTTTGGAAAAGGGTGAATTATTCAAAATAAAGTATTTATTATCCATCTGAGCAAATAATACTAATTTGGTAGACTGGTTTCATTCAGGGGGTTACATTTTTTTATAATAATATATCGAAGCAATATTAAGGTTGTATACCAGGCACATCTGTGAAATCCCATGCAGGAGTTTCATTGATAATTCCATGAACTTAGCTAAATAGTAAAGTGAATAATGTAACAATTACAATTAGGAAGGTGAATCAAGAAGGCTAGTTTCCTTTTGGCAGATTTTAATGCTGCTGCATTCTCACTGTAGAGTAGAAATGCTATCTAGTTTCTGATGTAATATGAGACTTAATGTACTGCCATTGTCACATCCACTTGTTTTTTTTCTTAATATCAAATGGCAATGAAGCAGCTTTTATACAAGCAAACACCCCATGGGATTTGGTTCCTTGGTTTGGAATTTTAGGGTCATGGTTTCATGGGGTCCCAGTTAATTGGCCTAACAATATATTTAGTGCTTCTGTTCTACCTCCCTAGTCATTGTGTAGTGCTTAAAAGCTTGTAAGTGGCCATCTAAGACACATGTTGTCTATTCACCTGGAGCAGTAGAGGAAGAAGGAGAGTCAAGAATAGGAGGAGAAAATGGATGTGTGTCTAATTTCCTCCATGAATAACTGCTTCCTTTGCCATGAGATCAGAGGAACTGGATGGTGCCCAGCTACCCTTACTGAACGTTTTGATCAAGGATTCCATAGAAGAATCCTGATCAAAAGAGGGAAAATGCAGAACAGAATTTAAAATTCTCATGGACTCTAGACTTTCTGGAGCCATGGAGGGTGGATGAACCCCTGAAACTATTGTCCTAAGATGATCTTTAAACCTTAAACCAAAAATACCTCCTGAAGTCATCTTCAAACTGAACAGTAGTTTAGCTTAACTAGTAAAAAAAAAGATCTTCCTTGAGCATTAAGCTCTTTTAAGAACTATCTATATGGGATTATTTTGACAACAGCAAATTTAAAGAATAGATAGCAGCCTTAGGGGATAGTGCATTTATGTTAATGAGGGAGAAATACTCCAAAAAGGAGAGTGAGAATGAATTGTGCGTGTAGAAGCTGTTGAATTGGTATGTTTTACTATGTATATTCTCAACAAAAAAATAAAATTTAGAAAAAATTAAATAGGAAGGTGGGATAATCATCAACATTTAAGATCAATGAGTCTTAAAATTGTGGGAATGCCTGCTGAGATATAGCTCCTCTGAATTGGCCATGTGTCCAGAGGATGATAGTAGGATTTCCAAATGGCTGTTTTATGGAATGTGGTTACTGTAAAATACAAATGAAAGAAAAGCTTGAAATGATGTTGTTTTAAAAGCACTCTTGGAATAACTGTATGTAGTCAGCAAACTAGGAAATGACAGATTAATAAGTAAAAAGATTGCTCTTATTGATTAAAAGTATTGGGCACATTTTGACGTGGAAGAGGCAGGGTACATGGTACCAGTGATGATTCCTTTAGTGCCCTTGAGAACTGAAGAGAGGCAGTGCAGCAAATAGAGTTAATAGTATAAACAATAGTGATAGTAGGTGACAAAGATTGTAATTTATTCTTTACAGGCCCTTTCTTTTAAGCCCTATGTAATCACTCTACATAACGTTACTACCGTATATTTGTAAAAATAACATTTTCATAAGTTACATGAATAATTTCACATAAATCTGTGAGTACACTATTAACTCTCTTGTAACCTACTATGTTTTGTCAGTTTTTTGCTGTTACAGATGGTAAAAAGCAGGACTAAACCAAAACAAAACAAAAAAAAAAAAACAAAAAACTCACTACCATCGAGTCAATTCCGACTCATAGCAACCCTTAGTCTGTTTCTGAGACTGTGAATCTTTTCTGAAGTAGACTGCCCCATCTTCCTTCTGTGGAAGGCTGGTGGATTTGAACTGCTGACTTTCTGATTAGCAGCCAAATGCCTTATCCACTATACCACCAGAACTCCTGTTAGAGAAATATAAATCAAAACCATAGAGATACTACTTCACACTTTTAGAATGACTAAAATATAAGAAACAGTAACACATATTGTCAAGGATGTGGAGAAATTGGAGTCCTTGTACATAGCTGGTGGTATTGTAAAATACTGGAGGCCCTTTGGAAAACAGATTGACGTTTCTTCAAAATGATAAATATAGAGTTACTATATGACTCCATGATTCTACTTGTATATACCTAAGAGATAGCAAAGGCAAATGAAAATATGTCCACACAAAAAATATGCATGCTAATATTCATAGCAGCGTTATTCATAATAGCCAAAAATGGAAACAACCAAATGTCCATCAACTGATGAATGGATAAACAGAATATACTGTGGAATGTTATTCAGCCATAAAAAGGAATGAAGTGATGATTCATGCAGCAATGTGGATGAATCTTGAAAACATTGTGTAAAGTGAAAGAAACCTAACACATATGATTGAATTTTTATGAAATGTCTACAATAGGCAAATCCATAGAGTCAGAAGGTAGATTAGTATTTGCTTAGGGCTAGGGGAAAGTGAGAATGTGGTGACTGCAAATAGGATAGGGTTTCTTTTTTGGATTAATGAAAATGTTCTAGAATTTGAGAGGGCTGATGGGGTACAACTTCGTGAATATATTAAAAACAATTGAATTGTGCTTTTAAAAAAAGATATTTTATGACATGAATTATGAATTAAAAAAATATCATGTATCAATTATATGTTGAAATAACAATATGTTGGACATAAAATAAATAAAATACATCATTAAAAGTAATAAATAAAATACATCATTAAAAGTAATGATGCCTGTTCCTTCCTACTATTTTTATGTGGCTAGTAGAAAATTTAAAATTACATTTGTGGTTTCATTGTATTACTGTAATACCTAGCACTGCTTTAATGGTTGTAAACTGTTCCATGGTACACTTAAATGACCAGTGTGAGAAATAACTCAGGATATGTGTCTTTGATCAAATTAACTGTAATCATGTATCTAGAGAATTATCTTTTTTTTTTTTGTAATAGCTGCTGCTCATGATACTGTTCTAGGCAATAAATGCACTAAAGATAAATTCCTATGGATTTATAGTTAGAAAAACTTTTTTTTATTATTGTTGTTTAGACAAATCTTCATGTATTTGCCATGGCACTGTACTAAGGGATAGTAAAGTAGTTATTAATTTGCATATTTTTAAACACCAGCTTCAGTCTAAACCCTTGAAAATACTGTAATTTCTAGTTAGAGCTAGAGTCATTGTCAACTCCTTGCTCTAGTTATTAGTATTTTTTTTAACCCCTTCTGGTTGATTTCCAAGGAGTGTGGTATAGTGGTTTGGTATGCTCACCAAAAAGTCAGTAGTTTGAACCCACTAGTCACTCTGCAGGAGAAAGATGAGGCAGCCTGATTCTGTAAAGATTACAGCCTTAGAAACTCTATGGGACAGTTCTGCTCTGTCCTATAGGATTGCTGTGAGTGAGAATTGACTAGATGATGGCAGTGGGTTTGGTTTTGGGTTCGTTGACTTCCTTGTTAATTCTCCCTTTATATTTCTTCCTATCTGTCTTTAGGAGGACAAGGTAAAGTTGGGAAAATTACTTTGCAGTTTTATTTTTCCTTTAACAGGTTTACTGATTTACTGTGAGAAAGTAAGTTTCTTTGTTTCTGATCAATGAGATAGGATGAGATAGGTTTATTTAAATATAAAGAAACTTTAGAATTTCATGTTAAAATTCAAAAGAGGTTCAAAGGAGAAACTTCTTTATAGAGATGTTAGATTGGGAATACTGTTGACGTCAGGGACACAATAAGAGGATTCTTTCTAGAGTGTAGGAAAGCAGTGATCTTTGAGGTATTTGTGAAAAGGAGGCTTTTAAGCAGCTTGGTAGAGTGTAAATCAGTGGACCAGTGTCATGGATTGAATTGTGTCCCCTCAAAATAGGTGTC